ACTTCACGGTTCGCTTTCTGCGAACCGTAAATATGAATTTAAAATATACAAGTAGAGGGAACACTGTATACCCGTTACCTGTGAGGAGCCCCACACAGATTTGGTGGTCGTGGCCCAGCGTAGATGCTTCTACTGACTTCAGTTGCACAGAGTGGAACAATGGCTCTTGTGCTGCTTTGGGGAGGAGGGCAGGGGGCAAGCCAGGATCCCCTTGACAGTGATGTCAAGTGACGGTTACGTGCTTCCCGGAAGCCAGAAGCATCACCCTGGTTGGCGGAGGTGGCGGGCTGCGAGGGAGGCGTGTGTGTGGCTGGTGAACAGCCTCATCCTTCCCGGAGCCTAGCCAAAGGGGCGCCGGCAAGGAGTGGGGAGACAGCCACCAAGACACTTCCGCGCTTCCGCCAGGGCTTCTTCCTCGGGCATGCTCAGTTCCGGCCACAGTGGGGAGTTGCTGCTTCACCATCCACTTGTGACACCGAGTCCTTGATGGAGTACTTCCTCATTCTTCTGCACACTGCTGGGAGGTTTTATGGCATCATAAATTAGTTAAATTTTCCTCCATGCATAAAGCAGTACCTAAATTTTCTACTTGACAGATGCAACTGTCTTTCGGGCTGCATAGGTCGACAGCAATCTAGACTATTAATAGTCAGGAGCTCACTCCGTCTCAGGCTGGCTTCAAACTCATAACCTCTCAGTCAGTAGTGATTTAATGCAGCTGGATACTAACTAAGTGTGCCACAACCCAGTCCGGGTTGAACTGGATGGCTCTTGTGGTCTCTTCCAACTTTATAATCATATGATAATTAATGTTATTTATGTCTTCTTTTCCGCTTGGTTTGAAGATGTCTATGGCTCCCAAAGACCTCTCTCATGAAAGTACTTGTTTCTCCTCTTTTCCCTCTTAGCTGGTGAATCGATGTTTGTATTCAGGGAGCGCCGACAGGACAGTGAAATGCTGGTTGGCAGATACTGGGGAGCGAATCCGAACCTACAAGGCTCACAAGCACAGCGTTAGTACTTTGAAGTACCATGCTGGGATATGTAAGTTCTCCCAAGATCCTTTCTTGTTTTGCTTCCTCTTATCATGTTGCTTAGAGGTCAAATTCTCCCTGTGTTCAAAGGAAAAACAACAAACAGAGCAAACCTATGAAATGGATCTTTGATATGTGACAAGTTGAACGTCCCTTTTCTGGAAATCTGAAGTCTGAAATACTCCCAAATATTCTATATAGATGGCAGAGGTAATGACACTTTTGCTTTTGATGGTTCAGTGTACACAAACTTTGTGTTTAGACTTGGGTCCCATTCCCCATTATATCTAATAAAATTATTTTGGTCATGTCAGGAGTGACTTGAGAAACTGCAAGTCGCTTCTGGTGAATTGGCCGTCTGCAAGGACGTTGCCCAGGGGATGCCCGGATGATTTTGATGTTTTTATCATCCTCGTGGGAGGCTTCTCTCATGTCCCCGCATGAGGAGCTGGAGCTGATAGAGGGAGCTCATCCGCCTCTCCCCGGATTCGAACCTGCAACCTGTCGGTCTTCAGTCCTGCCAGCACAGGGGTTTAACCCACTGTGCTACCGGGGGCGCCAATAAAATTATTAAAAAATGTTGTATAAAATTACCTTTATACTCAACAAAAGATTCCCCCAGGCTCAGCCAGGCCATCAAATGCTACTCAAGGTGGTCAGTTGAAACATTCACACCTAGCTCCAGCAGAGAAGAGCTCTTTGTCTCACCCTGGTCATTCCACAGATATATAAACCCATTTCCTAATTCCAACAGACCTCACTACCTCTGAGGATGCTTGCCATAGATGCAGGCAAAACATCAGGAGAAAATGCCTCTAGAACATGGCCATATAGCCCGAAAAAACTCACAAGAACCTACCTTTATACTATTTGTCTGAGCTCTATTCCAGGACAGCCACTATATTATTATTATTTATTATTATTTATTATTATGTTTATGTTTATGTTTGTATAAATAAACATAAACATAAACATAAACATAATAATAATAATAATAATAATAATAATAATAATAATAATAATAATAATAATGCCTATAAATATCTGGGCACACTACAGTTGGACACTATCAAGCATGGGCATGTGAAAAATGTGGTCAGCAAAGAATATATCCAAAGAGTCAGAAAGGTTTTGAAGAGCAAATTAAATGACGGAAATACAATCAAGGCTCTCAACCCCTGGGCCATCCCCATCATTAGATACACTGCTGGAATTGTGAACTGGACACAGGCAGAGCTGGATGATCTGGACAAAAAAACAAGAAAACGGATGACAATCCACTACTCATTACACCTGCGTAGTGATGCCGACAGATTTGACCTGCCCAGAAAATCAGGAGGCAAAGAGAGGGCTTCTGCAAGGGAAACAAATGGTAGAAGAAGAGAAACATGCGCTGGCATATTATGTGAAAGGCAGTCAAGAACCACCATTGAGAGAAGTCAATAGTAGTAAACTGCTTAAAGTGCAAAAAGACAAAGAGTGAATACCATAAAAAAATACAATGCAGAGCAGAAGAGAAAACTGGCAAAAGAAGGCTCTCCATGGACAGTTCCTGGGAAAAATTGAGAGCCAAATCGATAAAGAAAAAACATGGCTGTGGCTCACAAATGGAACTCTGAAAAAGGAGACGGTCAACTCTGGCTTTGAAGGCATTTGTTCTAACAGCTTGTTCTTGGGCTGCCAGAATCAGGCCCTCCGTCGCGCCTGGTGGGAACAAGAGACAAGGCCTTTTCTGTGGTGGCCCTCCGGCTATGGAATTCCCTCCTGAATGAAATTAGATCTGCCCCCTCCCTCCTGACCTTTAGGAAGCTAGTGGAAACCTGGGTATGGAACGAGTCCTTTGCAGAATGATGGTTGAGACTGGTAATCGACCAAAGTTATTGACCTCAATATACGGACTGAATATACGGACTGAGTTGGACATGTTTTTATCCTTGCGAACGCCTTTTATGTAATTTATCTTATATGTATTTGTTAATTTACTGTTGATATATGATGTTTTAGATTTTTACTGTTAGCATTGAAACCTTGCTGTCAGCCAGTCTGAGGTAGAGAAGATCGGGATATAAACGTTTTAAATAAATAAATAGAGAAGAAGGAAGCAAAAGTCTCCAATGCATAGACCAAAGCAGGCCCGTAGCCAGGATTTTGATTCGGGGGTGCTGAGTGTGATTCGGGGGGTGGGGGGTGGGTTAGTTTGATTAAAGGGGGGGGGCTGAGGATCTACCCTAGCAAACCTTTTGTATCATTATCCCAATACCCCCATGCATATTGAGCATGATGATCAGATCATGATATGAATAAACATAACAGTTTAAATAATGGGTTGTTGTAGGTTTTTCTGGGCTATATGGCCATGTTCTGGAGGCAATTTTTCTCCTGACGTTTCGCCTGCATCTATGGCAAGCATCCTCAGAGGTAGCGAGGTCTGTTGGAACTAGGAAAAATGGGTTTATATATCTGTGGAATGACCAGGGTGGGACAAAGGACTCTTGTCTGCTGGAGCTAGGTGTGAATGTTTCAACTGATCACCTTGATTAGCATTTGATTGCCTGGCAGTGCCTGGAGCAAACTTTTGTTGAGAGGTGATTAGATGTCCTTGTTTGTTTCCTCTCTGTTGTTGTGCTGTTGTAATTTTAGATGCTAATCAAGGTGATCAGTTGAAACATTCACACCTAGCTCCAGCAGACAAGAGTCCTTTGTCCCACCCTGGTCATTCCACAGATATATAAACCTTTCCTAGTTCCAACAGACCTCACTACCTCTGAGGATGCTTGCCATAGATGCAGGCGAAACGCCAGGAGAGAATTTTGTCTGCTGGGGCTAGCTGTGAATGTTTCAGTTGATCACCTTGATTAGCATTCAATGGCTTGGAAGCGCCTGGGGGGAATCTTTTGTTGAGAGTGATTTTATGTGCCTGTTTGTTTCCCCTCTGTTGTTTTGCTGTTGTAATTTTGGAGTTTTTTAATACTGGTAGCCAGATTTTGTTCATTTTCATGGTTTCTTCCTTTCTGTTGAAATTGTCCACATGCTTGTGGATTTCAATGGCTTCTCTGTGTAGTCTGACATGGTGGTTGTGAGAGTGGTCCAGCACTTCTGTGTTCTCAAATAATATGCTGTGTCCAGGTTGGTCATCAGGTGCTCTGCTATGGCTGACTTCTCTGGTTGAAGTAGTCTGCAATGCCTTTCACGCCACCCTGAGAATTTCAGGGGGGGGGGGGCTGAACCCCCCCCCCCCCCCCCCCGCTACATGCTTGGATCAAAGGATGATAGAGAGAGCGATAACTACAGGCATTTTCCACCTCCCCATTGTCCCATCTCTCACAAGTGTTAGAAGACCCTTTGCTTCCAGTAGTCCAGAACTGTAAGCCATCTCAACCCATTCCATGGCACTCATTTCTCTGCACTTCTAAAATAGTGGTGTATGAGAAGGTGCAGCTTTGTGTGAGCACTTAACCTTAGCTCACTTGACATTTCTCCATTCTAAATCATCTCCCATTTTCATACATATATTAGGAAAACACACAAAGCGTAATTGCAATGTTCTGAGTATTGGGTAGACACGAAAACTTGTTTGTTGGTTTTTTGGTCATTGGCTTTTGTCTGGGCCGACTGGACGACTCAGTTTCCACACCCAGATCTGAAGATAGAAGCAAATTAATTGGTGTATTGGCACCAGCGCTTGGAATAATACGGCAGCACTACATCTAATGGTCACGACACCATTTCATATCTTTGGAAAGCAATAATGGTGGCAGAGACAGCGAGTTTAACAATGTTTTTCCCTTTTAGGTTTCTCGGTTATGTTTGCCAGAGAGGCCTATAATCCTTGGTGGAGACTGTAACCTTTTCAAAGCACACAATGACCTGTGTCACCGAACGAAAAAGAACAGCACATTCCACATAAAAAATATCCCTTTGCAAAAGAGGTTAAGTTTAAAGATGACTTGCTCTGTTACTCAAACAATTAAAATTGTGGTTGGAAGAAAAGATACTGTCTTGCTTGCTAAGTGCTGATTCATTGGTTATGTTACATCCCTGTGGTATATTTGCTCTACAAGTTCGTATTGTACAGAGTTGTGTGGTTATATAGAATCACAGAATCAAAGAGTTGGAAGAGACCTCATGGGCCATCCAGTCCAACCTCATTCTGCCAAGAATCAGGAATATTGCATTCAAATCACCCCTGTCAGATGGCCATCCAGCCTCTGTTTAAAAGCTTCCAAAGAAGGAGCCTCCACCACACTCCGGGGCAGAGAGTTCCACTGCTGAACGGCTCTCACAGTCAGGAAGTTCTTCCTCATGTTCAGATGGAATCTCCTCTCTTGTAGTTTGAAGCCATTGTTCCGCGTTCTAGTCTCCAAGGAAGCAGAAAACAAGCTTGCTCCCTCCTCCCTGTGGCTTCCTCTCACATATTTATACATGGCTATCATATCTCCTCTCAGCCTTCTCTTCTTCAGGCTAAATATGCCCAGCTCCTTAAGCCGCTCCTCATAGGGCTTGTTCTCCAGACCCTTGATCATTTTAGTCGCCCTCCTCTGGACACATTCCAGCTTGTCAATAGTTGTTCATTCGTTCAGTCGTCTCCGACTCTTCGTGACCTCATGGACCAGCCCACGCCAGAGCTCCCTGTCGGCCGTTACCACCCCCAGCTCCCTCAAGGTCAGTCCAGTCCAGTCCAGCTTGTCAATATCTCTCTTGAATTGTGGTGCCCAGAATTGGACACAATATTCCAGGTGTGGTCTAACCAAAGCAGAATAGAGGGGTAGCATTACTTCCCTAGATCTAGACACTATGCTCCTATTGATGCAGGCCAAAATCCCATTGGCTTTTTTTGCCGCCACATCATATTGTTGGCTCATGTTTAACTTGTTGTCCACAGGACTCCAAGATCTTTTTCACACATACTGCTCTCGAGCCAGGCATTGTCCCCCATTCTGTATCTTTGCATTTCATTTTTTCTGCCAAAGTGGAGTATCTTGCATTTGTCACTATTGAACTTCGTTTTGTTAGTTTTGGCCCATCTCTCTAATCTGTCAAGATCGTTATGAATTCTGCTCCTGTCCTCTGGAGTATTGGCTATCCCTCCCAATTTGGTGTGGTCTTTCTGCTATTCTGAATTCATTTCACAGGGATTAAGTCCCACTGAAAGACGCAAATACCTCAAACGGTCTCAGATCCTGTCTGATCTTGCAAACTACGCAAGGTCAGCCTTAGGTGGGATCTACACTTCCATATAATCCAGCTCAAAGCAGATAATCTGGATTCAAAAACTGGATTGTACGGCAGTGTTAGATGGGACCTCAATGAGTACTTGGGTAGGGGAATGCCAATGAATATCGTGTTCTCTTTAGGCTATATTTCAGAGGAAGGGACTGGCAAAATCTCCTGAGTATTGGGTTGTTGTAGGTTTTTTTAGGCTATATGGCCATGGTCTAGAGGCGTTTTCTCCTGACGTTTCGCCTGCATCTATGGCAAGCATCCTCAGAGGTAGTGAGGTCCTCTACCTCTGAGGATGCTTGCCATAGATGCAGGTGAAATGTCAGAAGAGAATGCCTCTAGAACATGGCCATATAGCCCGAAAAAACCTACAACAACCCAGTGATTCTGGCCATGAAAGCCTTCGACAATACATTCTCCTGAGTAGTGTTTGCTTTAAAAATCTATGAAAAATGCACAGGTTCTCCATAAATCAACAGGCGACTTGAAGGCACATATAAATGCACAAAGAAGTCCTACTAAATTAAACAGAGTTTAAATCCAAGTGGATATTTATGGGATTCCTAATTTGTAATACAGTATAAGATTTGTTTAACCCACGTTAGCACAGCGGGTTAAACTGCCAGCTGCAGAAATATTTGCCGCCTGGAAGGTTGGCAGTTCAAAGTCGTGGGTTGGGGTGAGCTCCCGCCGTTAGCCCTAGCTTCTGCCAATTTAGCAGTTCAAAAACAAAAATGTGAGTAGATCACTAGGTACCGCTTTGGCGGGGAGCTAGAAGGCATCCATGCAGACATGCCGGCAATTTGATTAAGAAGGCGCCCATGGACAACAGGCTTCTTGGCATGGAAATTGGAGCAGGAGCACCTCCTCATGGCCAGAATTGAGCACAGCCTCCAGATGCTGGAGATGAAAAGAGGGAAGCCTTTACCTTTACTGTTGCAATCCAGAGCAGGGAACGAGGCCCTAAGATAACTATCTACCACACTTGGCTGTGAAAAACAATCCTTTTTTATTGAAGAAAAATGGTTACAAAATAAAGGAAAAATGCAAGTCAAAAGCCACAGCAAAATCAGCAAACATGAATTTAAATGGACAAAGCAAAACCAAAAGCCTCACTGGGAAATACTGGAATCTGTTAGCAATCCACTAACCGTACTTGATGTCCTAGAAATCTTCCCAAAGTATGGCCAGGGAACCGGGAGAACTGCCAAGGTCTTCATCAATTCTGAAACGATGCCTGAACTGAGACAATCAGCCCGGCGTATTGCAATTAAAACTCAAGAATTGGTTCCGTGAACCGCCCTTCTGTTTTGAAGCCAATGTTTTTAATTCTTGAATTCGGGAGGATCGACGCAAACTGAGTGTTTTACTTCTGTCTTCCCAAATTTGGCCCCTTCTGTTGTCATTACAGTTAACAGGTGCAGAAGGGAGGGAAAGTTCAAGGTCTCCCTCTGAAACATTCTCAGGAACACTGGTACTTTCATTTTCCAAATCTACAGAAGTTCCTTCCTCACTAATTTCAGGAACATTGGCATTTTCCAAACCTACAGCAGTTTCTTCCTCACTGATTTCAGGAGCATTGGCATCAAAAGGTACATTTCCACTAGCATCAGTAAATATACTTTCATTAGCATCAGGAGGAACAAACAGAGAATCAGGTTCAAGTTCAAACTCAGGCTGAACCCCAACATTTACCTCTGTCTGTGTACCGTCTGTATTTGTTGTTAATTATATAATGACATTGAGTTTTTTCCATATATATATTCTGTAATCCGCTCTGAGTCCCCTCGGGGAGATAGAGCGAAATATAAATAAAGTATATTATTATTGTTATTATTATTATTAAATCCACATGTTGTGCAGGGGACGGGATGATAAGGTAAACAATGCTGTCCAGATGTTTTGTGTTTTGTGTTACACTTTCATAATCCCTGACCATTGTCTGTGCAGTTGAAGTTCAAAATTTTGGACTGCCATCTGGATGTTTCCTATCTGTAACGCAGCTGGCTGGGAGTCAACTGAATTAAGATCACTACTAACCAAAAGGTTATGAGTTCAAAGCCAGCCCGAGTTGGAGTGAGCTTCCGACCAATTTGTGTAGCTTGCTGTCGACCTTTGCAGCATGAAAGACAGTTGCATCTGTTAAGTAGGAAATTTAGGTACCGCTGATGTGGGGAGACTAATTTACAACACCATAAAAATCTCCAGCAAACATGCAAAGAATGAGGAAGTACTTCATCAGTGTCACAAATGGACGGTGAAGCGACAGCTCCCCTGGTGGCCAGAATAGCCTCATGAAAAAGCTGGAATGTTAAATAGCCTCTGTATGTCTGTCTATATATGTTGTGTGTCTGTGAATGTTTGCTATGTATATGTACATTGTAATCTGCTCTGAGTCCCCTGCGGGATGAGAAGGGTGGAATATAAATACTGTAAATAAATTAATATCTTGGGACAGAGAGTTGTGGGTTGGATATCCTAGCCATACTTTCAGTGTTTAGCTCCCATGGATTTCATTGCAGATCCTGGAGGAGCCATCAATCTTACCTAATTTACAATATTCCTAATTTACAATATTCCTAATTTACAATATTCCTCTTTCAGTTTTCTTTCAGTATATATTATCATGTGCTCAAGATGTAGAGCAGTTTTTAATGAGAATTATATTCCAGATTGCACTCTGGATGGTACCAATTTAAGCTGTAGTTTACAAAGTACTTTGCATCCAAATCAGAGTTTGGAAATGATACTTGTGTGGACCCAAACTCCCAGAATGTCCCTTTTCTTTCTTTCAGTTTTTTCCCTGATTTTCCTGGCAATACTCTTTTAAATGTTCGTGGTCTTAATGTTCCAACAGAGCACACGTTAATTGTTCTTTTCTCTTGTATATTGTGTATCTTATTTTGGTTAGCTGCCTGGTAGATCCTTTGGATTCAAAATGATGTTGAGTTGGATGCAAATTATGCTTACTAAGTGAGCATAATTTGGGTTTTTTTTGTGAGTAAAATCCAACATCTTTTTTTCTATTTTTTTACAGTGTTTACAGGAAGCGGGGATGCTTGCGCTCGAGCTTTTAATACAAAGACCGGCATCCTGCAAAGAGTTTTTCGAGGGCACAAACTGGTGATCAACTGCATCCAGGTGAGTTGCCAGCTTTTGGGGATTTCATCATTTGCAGAAGGGAAGCACTTGGCTACAACTCCATAGGGCAAGAATGGCTGAATATAAGCTGTATTATTATAAGTACTTTCTGAAGGAGCCCCCTTTGATCATGGATTCATTGCAGTTGTGGTGAAGTGGTTGGTTTCCGTATGGGTTCTAAGGAAAAGACTTTGTCCGCTTTCACGTTATCGCCTTTCTGCGTCACCAAAGAAACAGATATAATAGTATACCTTAAAATAACATTTCAACACTGATAGAGTCATAGAATATTAGGACTTCTCTACACTGGCCCCAAACTCTGATTTGACCAGAAGTCATTCCTGGATGTCCAAATTTTATCTAAGACAGGCATGGGTAAACTTTGTAACTTAGGGGTCTCATGGTATACCGAAGCAGGGTGGGTGGGCAAGCCAAGACGGAGGGGGTTCTCCCCAAATCCCCTCCCTGCCCTTTCCTCCCCTTTCTCTTCTCTTTCGGAGGCAGAAAGTGGAGGAAAGATGGGAAACGTTTGGATCCCAAAAGGGTTGGCCTTGGTCAGGATGAGATGGTGGACAGGAGAGAAAAAGTGGATCCATGAGACCCCATATTGCCTACTCTTGATATAGAATCCTAGAGTTGGAAGAGACCCCCAAGGGCCATTCAGTCCAACCCCCCTGCCATGTAGGAAGGCACAATCAAAGCACTCCTGATAGACAGCCTCTGCAGAAAAGCCTCCAGAGAAGGAGACTCCATTACACTCCCAGGAAGCTTATGCT